AGATGGAACTAAGATGGAACAAGGAAAAAAAACAACGAACGAAAATCCAAGCAATAAATCTAAACTATACAATGGAAGAGAGCTCTTAAGTAGTTTTAAATTTGTGTTCCTTAGTTTTTGTTCATGAATAAGAAAAATTCAAATTCAAATTGCTACGCCCGGAATCGCAAAAGTCTTTCTCATAACGTTTCAAGTTGGCCAACTCCCACCCATTGTAATCTCCTGCATTGTTTTACTCGAAGGTTGAAGGTCGAGTAACAACACATCTCATTCAACAAACTCTCCTGGCTTCAGCGTGACCGCGTGCGTAACTCTTCAGTCAGCGAGTAGAAACTTGCACACAGACACACACGCATTCAAACGATACATCATTTACAAGCGCTTGGATTAGCCCCTCTTCATTGCAATGAACCGAAACGTTTTTGTCGTGCCTTCTGTGTATATTGCTAACAAACATTTCCATAGCTTGAACAAATTCAGCATTTGCTTATTATTATTATTACAGTATTACAGGCTGCTTAAATATTTTTGTTACACTTCTGAGGATTTGCAACAATTGCACAAGCACTGTGCCTCCGAGCTCCGGAGACCACCTGGAGAAGATTCCAGGCACGTGTTAACAAAGATGGCGAACAAGTGGAGACTTTTTTAAGTTATTAACATGACATTTGTTATCGTGTCACAGTGTATCATCCGTTCTTTTTCCATTGCAAACAATTGTCCCATAAAGGTGTTAAAAATGTTTTGAAGCGCCCTGTATTATACTTTAGATCTTTACTGTATTATAAATGTGTCTTTGAGACGGATCATGTTTTTTTCCTGCCACCTCGCCAGTCAAGCAAATCCAAGCACATTCAGTCCTGTCTGCAATGCCAACAGCTCGCTATCAAGAATCTGGAAGACGTAATTACAATCGCGTCGGTAACGCCTTTGGCGATGCAGAATATTCACGTCTGTTACAGCTCCTTGTCAATCCACTGCTGGATGAAAGCCCGCGACGGTGGCGACAGCTGTTTGACCATACTTCACCACGCTGGGTCAGTTCAGCGGTCCGGTGATGCAGGTGGCCCAGCATCGTTCCCAGACGTCGTTGGCGGCCACGGATGTTATTTATTGGCCGGGAATTGAACTCGGGTTGCCAATTGTACGGCGCAGTGTGCGTACCACTGTGCCACCATTCTTACCGTGCAAACATCATAACCTTACGTCAACCCTTGGGAGTGCATCGTCAGGTGCATGTCATGCTAATTTGATGTTTGCCTTCGAGCTTTCTGCGGCTTCTTTCGATAAATTATGCGCAGCATCGGACGCTGCACCATTGCTAACACTGATTTGTTTTAAATCTTTTCAGCGCCAAGAATGTCACATTCACCACTTTTTTTTGCTACTGCGCGTGTGAGGCGTACTACCAGAATAAACGAGCATTGTTGCAACGCATAGATTTGAAATGTTATTGCGTTATTTTCACGCCCTTTCTTTCCCCCCACGTTAATGACAATGGTAAGACGCTGTGATAACATTCTCACTCACAGCCTGCAAACGTCACGAGGCTATTAGAGGTTTTTCTTGGGTTGAATCGTGTAAATATATAAATGTGCCGTTAAACCCGCCACCACCCGACACAGCCGATTCGTAAGGTTTGTCACGTAAACAGAACGTGCCAATTCGTTACTGGTACAGCGCACCGGTGTGTTTGGAGAGCCATGCCACAACATTTACAATCTGAGTACTGTAATCACAACTAACATCATCAGGCGACAGCCAGATTTGTGAAGTCCACCTGTTTCGTTCCTTAATAAGAAATCTGGCTGTCGTCTGATGAAGCCAGTTAATATTACTGGCGAAACGTCACGGAACTCCGATTGTAAATCAAGTTCAAGTTTTATTTATTAGGTACAGCCCTGTGAGCCATTCGGCTCTTGAATCGGGTGTAACCGCAACAAACAAAAAAAAACATGAACAAGAAAACATCTTAAAGTGACTATGTGCAAACAGAAAATCCAAGAAAAGACAGCAAAATATATATGTGTTATAGGCGTGGATGTTCAGAGCTGATTTTGGGAGTTCAATCGCCTGGACAGTTTTGCTGCGTTGTGCGGCAGTCGTGTGAGGCCACCATTCCGATGGGGTCTACAAACAATTAGTACAGATAGCGGTTGTTCTCTTGTGATTACACTTGGCCTCCCTCCACAGGGATGCGAAATTCCCACCACTCGCTCAAAGCTACCAGTGTATCGGTACAAGGCAACACCAAAGATATTCGGGTTTTTTTTGGTACCCTTTACCATTCACCCGATTTATACATTCAACACAGAAAATGAAAACGCATTACATACTTAATAGCCGGTTGTGTTGACATTAGTTTAGTTCTTCTTAATTGCTTTATCTGTGTAAATGTGCGATGCAAGGTGTGCCATGTGCGATTTGAAAACTGCAAAAGCAACTGCTCTGTTGAGTCCACGTGGTTCCCACCACATTTTGTCAAATTGCTCCTTGCAACTCTCGCAGCCGTCTGCCCCCATCCTCCTCCATCCCCCAAGGGCCATTACCCCAAACATCGGCTTCTAATGTATTTGTTTTGGTTCTCACTTAAAAGCCGGAGTTTGCTATTCGTGATGGTGGTACATTGCCATATTTTCCAGGCTTTTGCTTCTCCACCACCGCTATCAGCACCGCTGCCAAACACGTCTTTATCTTGCTTAAACGTCAAGAAAGCGCTCCTTTTGAAATACTGGGGGGAGGGGGGGGAAATGCCACGCTTGCTTCATATCTATCGTCGCATCTGCTCGGTGGTTCAGTTCAGTGAGAGGCCCCTTCACCATTATCCATTATCAGATCAGGCGCTCGACACGGCCTCTTCAATTGGCGCATTCGCCACCCGCACTCCACCACGCCTCCCTCCCTACCCATCACGCCACGTGCGTACGCGTGTGCGCGCTCGCCTACAGCAACAGCGGCCGCAGTCGTGAAGCATTGGGGGTGTGCAGTAGGGAGGGGATCGGTAGTGTAGTAGTAGTCAGCGCACCGCGCGCGGCCAACATCGGTGACGATTATATCTGAACCGGTCCTGGACCTCCCCTAGGTCGACTCAGCCTCAAACGAGTACCCGGTGCGGTGTGTGAACATCGCCACGGGGGGAGACAAAGGCGGCCGGTGCGTGGTGTTGGCCACCCCACCCCCTCGTGTGCCGTGCCGACCTTTATAGGCGCTACTACTCGCTAACAGCACTTGCCCTAAACGGTCTGTTAAGGCTACACGGGGGATCTTTGTCTTTGTGTGCGAGTGTCATTGCGCCGGCAGATGTACACCGAGTGCCCCCTACTGGTGTTGGGATACGTTTCACGATTAGCCGAAGCTTCTCGTGAACCTCTAGACATGGGTCTTAGCCTGAGGGTGCGAGATGCCCTTTGTGGGGGTGCGAGACGTGGCCAAATTTATATTTTTTTAGAAGGAAATCATCGCAAACACGAATTAAGCACGGACACCTAAGTACAACTTCCTGTTTCATCAAACCCTATGTATTTATTTAAAAAAAAAGTAACAAATCGAGAACTAGAGTGCTGCAGGCCTGCAGCAAAGGTTAAGAACCACTGCAGTCTAACTCCCACCAACGGCTGTGGCCACCACCACCACCACCCAGCAGCCGGCCATGGATAGCGTGGGGCACCAAGCGGTTCACGAACTGCGCCACGAACCCGGCGGTCTGAGTTCGACTCCGAGGCCACGTCGAGCATCATCAGTGGCGTCGAGCGATGTTTGAATCTGTCCCAGGCACCCCCCCACCCCCTCCACGCCTTCCACCACCGTCGCCAGCCTGCACTGAGATCAGCGTGGTGAAGTTTTTTTCCGGATAAATCTCCATGACTAACAACGCATTCATGCAGCAGTGGATTTACAAAACGCTGTAAAAAACACATGTATATATTTTTTTCAATTATTAAGAAGGCTGCCTCCACCAGGGAGGGTTTAAATCTTACTGGGTTAGACTTCTTCTTCTTGGTTCTTTCGGTAAAGTCACGTAGAATGGAAATAATAAAATAATAAAAATAAAACATAATAAAATAATATAATAATATAATATATTTATATATCTCTTAACTAATTATTTTGGTCAGCACCCATTGTCATCGCTGGTCAGAGTCCTACTCTACCATAATTATATCAAATCTAGGCAACTCGTGACTACTCAGTTCCGAGCCGACTGCCCATACGCTGCGGTGTATTTAAAGGTTGCGTAATCAGCCCAAAATATCACGGTGTCGTCCGTAGTATCTTCACAGAATGGGGGGGTCCACGTTGCTATTTTAGTTGGAGCCAATGAGAACATTTGCGAGCAATTTCCAAATTTGGTAAACTTGGATCGTGGCATCGGCACACACGTGGCCCTGCTCTCCCGTAGAATAACGTCACGAATTCTTTAAAAGTTTGCTGCGAAGCTGGCGGCATCTAATTACGTTCAATTCACCCGTAGTATTATATTTATTTTGAACTTCTTTCGCTCCGTACCTAGCCAACCGTGCTAATCGGAGGTGCGGGGAAAAAAAACATCTATATTAAGCACAACAAACTACACGCAAAAATCTGTTCGAAAGAAATTATATTTCAATTTACATTTAAAAGTACATCGCTCCGATGGCTTCCTAATATCGGAAGGAAGAGGGTTCCAGACAGCCGCAGAAGCGCATCTGAAAGCGCCGTGGGATACGGTGACCACCGTCTTTGTATCGATGGCCTGCCAAAAGCCACTGTTGCTGCTGCTGCGAGGATGACCCGGAGTGCGCGCGATGATGGTTTACGCTCCTTGACGACGGTAGCGCGCTCGGGTTCCATCCGCAAATCTCTGTCACAGGTAGCGAACGCGCCACCCGGCATATCCGTGGTCACTACCCCCAGCGGTAGCGCACATCCCCCCCCCCCCCCCCCCCCATAAAAAAAACAAAAAAATCCTTCGATCCAAATCATACCGCTCACGTTTCATGCCCTTCGTCGTCGTCCCCCAGGCTTCCAGGACGTGCACGTGATGGTCTTCGTCGGCTTCGGCTTCCTCATGACGTTCCTGCAGCGCTACGGCTACAGCAGCGTGGGCTTCAACTTCATGATCGCCGGCTTCGGCATCCAGTGGGCCATCCTGGTGCAGGGCTGGGTGCAGCACTTTGACTCCGTCACCGGCACCATCAAGGTCGGCCTGGAGAGGTAGGCCGCTGAGACCCTGCGGAACGGAATCGTCTCCTCCCTAGCCCCCTCCCCCGCTACGCTTTCCGACCCTCACGTGCGTCCGTATATCACGCAGTAGGTCTTCGCGACCAATGTTATCCGTAATAAAAAAAAATTATTTTAAAAGGTGACAATCGCGATGGCGTCGGTCGCAATAAACACTCGGCGCTCGTGTCTCCCTTGTCTCCTCCCGTGTCTCCTCCCTTGTCTCCCGTGTCTTTGCCCGTGTGACCTCCCGTGCGTCCTGTGTCCCCCGTGTCTCCTCCCGTGTCTCCGTCGTTCTCACCGCCCACCCGCCCGCTCTCCCGCAGCATGATCAACGCGGACTTCTGCAGCGCCGCCGTGCTCATCTCCTTCGGCGCCGTGCTGGGCAAGACCAGCCCCGTGCAGCTGCTCATCATGACCGTGATCGAGGAGCTCATCTTCGCCGTCAACGAGTTCGTGGGCATCTACATCCTGCGGGTGAGGAGGCACCCCACGATGTTGTTGTTGTTGTCGTTGTGGCACCCACTCGCCACGGTGGCGAGATGTTAACGACCTCGCCTGGTATGCCAGGAGGTCGTTGGTTCTATCCCGACTCTGACGTCTGTTGTAAGTTTTTGTGTGTGTTTAGTTTGTTGTCCTTCCCCCGCACCTCCGATTAGGACGGTTCGCTACGTACGGTGCAAAAGAATTTCAACGTACATACATACATTCGAAGTTTGCATGGGTCTCTCCCTGTGGTCGCGTGGATTTTTCTCCGGATCCTCCGGTTTTTTGCCCTCCACATTTAGAAACAACAGGCATTCAGAGTATTTGGCTCCGATACATTTCCACATGATGAGCCACTTCGTTGAGCCATCGTTTGTGGCCAGGTCGCTTTTAGACAAAGAGCTACTTAGCTCAGTGGACCTTACCTGGTAAAATAAAAAATAGTTTTGCGCAAGTTTTCAAATTATCTTTGTACTACGACGGTGAGGGTAAAGGTGCAGGACCTGCAACTGCTCATTCACGCCACTGCTGTCACAAAGGCCTCTGCCAGAGGGAGCTCTAGAGAGCCCCTCCAGGGGCTGTTTGGCCTACTCTTCCACGCTAGCCAGACGTAATGGGAGGAGGTGGGAGGATCCACCACACGTGATCTGCCAAGCGTCTCACTGCAGTGTATCCGCTTGACGTTTTTGGGGCCTTTGGGTCTGTGCTCAGCAATTGTGTTTTTAAATAGATACATGCAATTATGCATAAAACATAAGAATAGTATAAATGAATAAGAATAGGTTTTACCCTTTCTGGCAATAAAACAGGTGTTAAGATGTTCAAACACCAATTAGGGCATTATTATTATAAACAAGCCTGCTTAGTCATAATAAAGGTTGCTTTGGGTTAGATCGTGTATAATATAAATGTGTCGTTAACCCACCACCATCCGACACAGGCAATTAGTAAGTTTCGTCAAGTAAACAAAACCTACCGATTAGTTACTAGTTGAGCACACCAGCGTGTTGGAGATTAAACCCACAATAGTTACTAGTTGAGCACACCGGCGTGTTGGAGATTAAACCCACAATAGTTACTAGTTGAGCACACCAGGCGTGTTGGAGATTAAACCCACAATAGTTACTAGTTGAGCACACCGGCGTGTTGGAGAGTAAACCTACAACATTTACAATTCGAGGACTGTGAGGCATCGCCGGTGGATTACAACCAGCTTTGTCGGGCGGTTTGCCAGAATTAGCTCAATGATGTGAACTTTCCCGTGGCTTTCCAGGTGAAAGACGCCGGCGGCTCGATGATAATCCACATCTTCGGCGCGTACTTCGGCCTCACGGTGACACGAATGCTCTACAGGAAGGGCCTTGAGGAAGGCCACCCCAAGGAGGGTGCCGTGTACCACTCTGACCTCTTCGCCATGATCGGTGAGCACCCGGATGGATAGACTCCCGTCCTAAGAATGTGGAATTGTCACCGCTTGCTTGGGGAAGGCCACCCCAAGGCGGGTACCATGCACCACTCTGAACCACTTCGCCGTGATCGGTGAGCGCACGGATAGATCGACCGACTCCTACCCTGAGAATGTGGAATTGTCACCACTTGCTCAAAATTACCAACTTCAATGAGCCCTACTCGATGCTCAGTTTATGATTGAGATACCTTCAGGGGCGGTTTCTTCATTAGGGCGATTGGGCGACGCACCACCAATGTCATTGAACCACAGAGTCACGCTAGTCGTCACTGCAGCCTCTGGATATAGTCCAATCAGCGTCATGTCACGTTCTGTGGAGTACCGCCTCTTTTGGGGCGATTTCACTCCGGCTGAGAATCGCCCCGAGTGGCCCCATAGACTTACATTCAAATATGTTTTTTTTCGAACGGGGGCGCTGCAATGCATTCTCTATGGCTCCGGGAGGGCAAGCCCCAACGTGCTTACGTCATCATACGTAAGCACGTTTCATCTAACAATATAATTTATCGCTACCTAGTGGAATCTTTAATAAAATAAACTTGAGTGGTTTGTTTTAATAGTGAGTATAGAAACAAACAAGATGTATTGTAAGAGTCACTTTATTTTTCATTAATATTAAAGAAGTGAAGTTGCCTTTACATGCTTAAGCTGTTAATTTATCCATTGCATGGGTGGACCTTATCCTTATCAATCATCCAGACATTTGCCCCCCCTGAGAGATTTTGCAGGAGCCGCCACTGGATACCTTATAATAATACGCGAATTTGCATTATAACATAACAATATCATTGGATTCACTTTGTTCATTTCAACATAAGCACATATAAACATTTCTAATGGGCGCGCTTCAGTAAACTAATTACACATGCATCTACGTCATCTCAACGCTGACACGTTCCTGCCAACGCTTTGGAGACATTTTTTTTTCCTCCCATCTATCTTCTTCCTCTTCTCCCCCCTCCGGCTTAAGGTTGCTTATTGAAAGCTCGCTTGTTACATTTGTTGCGTTATCAGGGAGGGGGTGGCAGGGGTAATGCTTACGAGTATCATGAAAAATGATCAGCCTGCACGTAATTAAAGAGTGGGAAATTGTGTTTTTCGCAAGAAGGTATAAGCCCCAACAGTGAACCGTGCCTCTAACCCCGATGTACTCACCCAGGAGCAAAGTGTCACCCCCCCCCCCCCCCTTGAGTACGTGCGAAAAATGTAATTACATTTAATTACAGCCGGCTGTCACGAATTCAATTTCCAGACGTGTTGTGTGGAGCTCCGCTCGCCATTAGCGGGGGCAAGCCCATGCACGCGGCCGTTGTGTTCATGTGCACTCATGGATGTCGCGCAAATTACAACGACTTTGTAGTTTTCCCAAGGAACCGAGGATAGTGTGCGTGCGAGCTGCTGATTGGGTCTTGAGGCGAGGCGTTCACGGGTTCCCCCTTTTAAATTTCCCGAGTGAAGGTTTCTCCCACGTTGAGAATGAAACGGCGGATGGTCAAAAGGCGCGCGCCCTGGCAAATGACCCGTGCTCGCTCATGCCACCGCCCAAGAAAGGGTTTTGTTTTTGAAACGTCGGGTTGAGGGCGAACGTTGTAACATTAGAACGTGGGGGGGCGGGGGGGGGTTGTTTTTTTTTCTTCTCCGTGCGATGTAAATTTTATGGAATATAAATGCGCTGTCGCTAACTCGCGTAATAAATGATGTGGTCACCATTGTTGTATTGTGAATACTGGAACCTCGATGGGAATAGGCGAGGACAAAAAAAATTCTGCACGCAAAATATATATATAAGTGCACACGATGTGATAGCTTATTCGAAAATATACTACTGTATCATTAGTTGTTTAATGGCGCTTAATACATTAAATTAGTATTAGGTGCAATTATGAATACAATACTAATTATTGTAATACAGCAGTAATTGCGAGGATAACATCTAAGTTATGAACTTTCATAATTACGCTTTTCTTTGTCTTTTTCTTTTGTTCTTTACGTTTTAAATCGTCAGCACGTCGAAGGGGGTAAAAGCGGCGACTTGGGGCCAAAGTAAGAGGGGCGGGGAATAAACACGGGCATAGTGAGCACGAGACGTGCAGCGTCGTTAGTGCAGCAGTGTCAGGGTGCAGCGCTGTGGGGGCAGTGTCAGGGTGCAGCGCTCTGGGGGCAGTGTCAGGGTGCAGCGCTGTGGGGGCAGTGTCAGGGTGCAGCGCTGTGGGGGCAGTGTCAGGGTGCAGCTTCGTTAGTGCAGTGTCAGGGTGCAGCGCTATGGGGGCAGTGTCAGGGTGCAGCGCTATGGGGGCAGTGTCAGGGTGCAGCCTTGTTGGGGCAGTGTCAAGGTGCAGCACTACGGCTACCGGTCGCAGCTCGAGGGTCGAATGACAGCCGGAGGAAAGGGCCCCGGACACTCGAGGTCTCGGTCAGTTTCAGCATCAGAACTGTTGTGGCTGTGGGTTGCGAGCGCATCGCAAATGTTCATTGTTGTTGTTGCGCTCGCTACTATTGCTGCTGCTGCCGTGCAGGGACCCTCTTCCTGTGGATGTTCTGGCCGAGCTTCAACTCGGCCATCGCTCTGCACGGGGACGACCAGATGAGGGCCGTCATGCACACCTACTTCTCCCTGGCCTCGTGCGTGCTCACCACCATCGTCATCTCCAGCCTCCTGGACAACCACGGCAAGCTCGACATGGTACTGCCGGCCGCTACCAACACTGCCGCCGCTACCAACACCAATTTTTATTGTTGACATCATCATCGCCACCAACAGCGGTCGCAGCACGACCGTCATCTTTATTATTGTGGTCACCATCATCATCATCGCCATCATCATCATCGCCATCATCATCATCATCCACTTTGCACTATGAACTTCGCCAGCGACGTCACCGTCGTCAGCAGCAATGATATCTAAACCCCCCCAGCACCTTCAACAACCGCACTAGACAGTGTCATGAGGTATGGTCAAACGACCGCCCACAACTGACACGGATAGGGGGAGGCCTTCACCCAGTGAGTTGGCACAAAGGACTGCCGATCAGTTGTATCATCATCAACGTCGTCGTGGTCATGTTGTTGTTGTTGTTGTCGTGTTTGCAGTGAATGCTTGCGTCTGGTTGCGCCGGTGCTGTGCGGGCACCTAACGCGACAGTTTACCCATAGCCCCGGGCTTCATCTCCCACTCGATATTTACCCAGAATGCTCCTAGGCAGGTGTGACGTCACACGCGTCGGGTAATTCGACGTCACAGACGCACGCGTGCGCGCGTCTTGACGAAAGGCAGTTTACCTTAAGGAGGCGGAAGTCACATTTCAAGTTCGTCTCAGGACGTCTGGTAAACCACAAGCGCTACTCAGGAACGCGCGTGGTGAGATATGACCTCCCTTGCCTGATACACAGTATGTCGTGGGTTCGATTCAGACCCTGACGCCTGTATTTTCTGAGTTTGCATGTTCTTCCTGTGGTCGTGTGGATTTTTCTTCCGGGTCCTCCGGTTTTTCCCCCTCCACGTTTAGAATCATCACGCGTTTAGAGTACTTGCCGGCTATAAAATTTGCACGTGATGAGCCACGACATTGAGCTGCCATTTGTGGCCAGGGTCGCTTCTGAAAAGGAGCTACATAGCTCAATGAGATTTGCCTGGTAAAATAAAAATATATATGTTAGTTAGTTAGCAGACCGTCTCCGTGCCGCGATGGACCGCCATCATCCTCCTCCCTGCGGTCGCCCAGGTTCACATCCAGAACGCGTCGCTGGCTGGCGGCGTGGCAGTGGGCACGTGCGGAGACATGATGCTCAGCCCGTACGGCGCCCTCATCCTGGGATTTATCGCCGCCATCATCTCCACCTTTGGCTTCAAGTACCTGACGGTATGTGGAAGCACCGCTCCCTCTCTCGCGCCGGACACAATGCAGCACCAGCGGCACCAGCAGCTCCAGCGGCTTAATTGACATTTTGCGGCAAAGCCTCGGCGAGTGTTGACATTTTTCAAAACGGTCCAGGAATTGAAATTATTTTGGCCAATTCCATTGACGATTGGTTGGCAACTCGAGGCGCGCCAGCCTGCTACGGCGCTGTGCTTCGCGCGCTTGACTCTTAATCGGGAAGGTTGAGAGTTCAAAATCCGGGTCAGGGTTCAACTCAGCCCATCCATCATCCCTGCGGGGTCGATAAAAATAAGTACCACGATGTTGTCGTTCTCTGGACGTTCTGATCCCCGACGTGGAAATGTGGAATTTCCACCACTGGCTCAGGTGGTGCCAGGAAAGATGAGCTCTCCTGCACTGCTCTGGCTTTGTATTATAGGCTGGATAGGAGCACATCTGTTATAAGCACACTTCTATTATAAGCAACACATGCTTACAGCTGACATTACGCTTGTGGAGATGGTGGGTGGGTGGGGGGGCAGCAAAGGGCAACTCTGATACAAGCACACAAGGGGTGTGCTTGTATCCAGCTTTTGCCGTACGATGAGTGGAAAGTTCAAGTCTTCTTCGTGCTCTCTCTCACACGAGTGTGACGGCGCGCATCTCTCTGCTTGCGCCGTTGAACTCTCGCCGGAAATTCCACATTTCCATTGCACGTTGTCATTAACTGCCACCCGCTGCCGCTACACATCAACCCAGAACGGACCGCGTGCGTACGGAGCGATGTCCCGTTTCTATTTTTTTGTTGACTGCTCGCGGTAATGCCCCGCTCCGCCTGATTATGCACTCTGGGCCTGGAGTTCACGTGCTCGTCTGGTGTCTCAATGAGTCCAATTTGTTTTTTCACTTCATGAAACTATCCCAGTTCCTCCATCAGCAATAATGGAGCAAGTCGGCGACGAGATTTGTTTTGCCGCATTTTTATCCAAGCGGTCGCTCTCAGCCGCCGTGTGTTTATGCGGGCAGATGCTCGTGCTTTGGACCTGATAAATATTTTTCGTCTTTTTTTGTCGGAGGAGGAGGAAAGCAGTGTTATACTGTGGCCTCTTAGATTTTTTTTTGAAGGGCGCTATACAGAAACCGACAATTAAATATATTGATCTGGTGGTCCCCTTGAAATTATTTGAGCTTTGGAGGTCATCAGACAACAACAAAAAAACATCTTGTGGCTGGGAGGTTGCAGCGCTATTTATTGAGAATCGCTCACAGCTGAAAGGCTTCGTGTTAAAATGTAATAAAAACTAATTAACGAATTTGCCTTATTACCTTTATCAAAGATAAAAGCTTGATAAGGCACGGTTGGCTAGGTACGGTGTGAAAAAATTCGAACATACAAGCTTCCATATGTTATCAAATGCTTCAAACGAGAATGCGGCGTTGAAACACACAGCAACACTACCTGCCATTTGTCACGAAGCGAAGCGGTGCTAATGTCACCGCTGAGCGCGTGCCAGGCTAGGTGCACTTTGCGGTCCCGTGGGGTCAGAGGTTTGTGGTAGAGACTCAGATGGTGTGCGCTAACAGAACAGAGATTTAAGATCGGGATTCCTGACTGTGTCAACCCTTTGATTTCATTTTATATTGCATCATTCGTACGATTGCATCTCAAACCCCTGTACAAATATGAAATGTTACATTAAAGTAGGGGCTCAAACCCCATACAATCATCATTGTGAACACGTACGTACGCACATATGCACCCACACACGTGCATATCCTGGCCAAGCTTCAACTCAGTCCATCATCCCCCCATATTCAATAAAATGAGCACCAATTTTTGACTGGCATAGGAATGTGGAATTCCCATCACGAGCTCAGGGCCATCATCAGGGGAGTGGGGAGCACTTCCCTGTACTCGGGTTTTACTACCGTGGTGTAATGGCTATCGTGTTGGACCTGCAAGGGTGTAGACACGTTTCTCAAATCCCTCCACCTCCTGTTACATTAAAGTAGGGGCTCAAACCCCATACAATCATCATTGTGAACCCTCCACTTCCATCCACCAAAGCAGTATAAATATATACAGTGAAGTTACTCAATCGGCAGGTCACGTGCAGTGGCGGGGTAAAGTGTGGACGTTGCTCCCACTTCTTAGAGGACGTTTGGCCAGCGTGGAAGAGTAGGCCAAAATATAACTTCTGGACGATAGGAGTGAAAAATACAAGGAAGGTGAACAAATCACCCAAACACGTACAAATGAAACTGAACCATCCCCATCGCCCGAGGCAAAGCCGGTGATCCGCCAATCCTTTGCCTGCAATGTCCCGACGACCCCTTGACCACTTCGCAGCCCGTCCTCGCCTCCAAGCTGAAAATCCAGGACACCTGCGGCGTTCACAATCTGCACGGCCTCCCGGGCATCCTCGCGGGCATCGCCGGTGCCGTGGTGGCTGCGTGCGCCTCCGAGGAGGTGTACGGATTCAGGTACGGCAAAACGACGCAGTGGAGGGGGGGGGGGGGCGGCGGCGGTGGTGGATGGTGGCGGCGTCAACGATGTACGCCGTGGTGCGGTGGTGACGGCGCTCTCGGCTCCGTAGCCGAGAGCGGTTGGCGGATCACAGGTTGCGTGCGGCGGGGGTTAAAGTTTGGATGATAATCATAATAATGATGACACTTTCGTTTGATATATACATAACGTCATTCATGCCAACAACGCCGTATGTTCATTTATATATGAGCACCAAATCATATCTAAGCGGCCGGCTACGTACAGCGTGACAGAAGCCCAACACACACACACACACCAAGCAAATGAAAACCCTCCCACCTCTTCCAAGATGTCTTGCTGGCGTGGAAGAGTAGGCCAAAACCCCCCCTCTGGGTGCGAGGGTGGAGGACGACTTGTATGGGGGTGGGGGGGGGTTGGAGATTCTCTACATCTCCCTCCAGTCGACGCGGGTGCCAGCGGTGTGAGCAAAGTGTAATTGCAGGGCTGCGCCGTTTACCGTCACCCTGTCCTCTCGCCCGCCGCAGCCTGTACCGGACCTTCCCCGACCTGGTGCCGAGCGACGTGAACAGCGTGGAGTTCAAGCGGATCGCGCAGGTCTACAAAGACATTGAACCCGGGCAGGGGCGCACGCCGCTGCTGCAGGGCGGCTTCCAGGCGCTGCAGATCCTCGTCACGCTCGGCATGGCCATCGGAGGCGGCCTCATCACCGGTGAGATCCCACACGTGCATCGGCATCCACCCGCCGCTCGCTCGCTCGCTCGCTCGCTAACCCGCTCGCCCGCGATAAGTCGTTCTCGTCGTCGACATCGGAGGAGGCCTCATCACCGGTGAGATCCCACACGTGCATCGGCATCCACTCGCTCACCCGCTCGGCCGCGATAAATCGTTCTCGTCGTCGACATCGGAGGAGGCACCATCGTCATTGGTGAGATTTGCTGTGAATTCGTAATTCATAACCTGGACCAGATTTAGTTGGATGGGAGGGGGGGGGGGCCTGGGTTGTTATAGCTTTGAGGGGCCCTCCTCTTTGCGTGTTCACTTCCTTCCATTCACTGTTTTACCGCCAGCCATAGCCGATGATGCCAAACGCTACGTTGCGATTGACCTTGGCTTTTTGGGTTCTGGCCTTTTGAATGTCATACATGAATTGTAAAGTCAGTTCAGGTGTTGCCACGAATGGAACTTTTTTAATATCCGTTAATCTAGCCCTGTCCTTACCACTCGAAGAGACAAAGATTCCCCGTATAGCCTTAACAGACTGTTGGGGCAAGTGCTGTTAACGAGCACCTATGAAGGCCGGAACGGCACACGAGGGGGAGGATGGCCAACACCACGCCCGACCGCCTTTGTCTCCCTCGTGGCGATGTTTACACACCGCACCAGGTACTCATTTGAGGCTGAGTCAACCTATGGGAGGCCCAGGACCGTTCCAGGTAACGGGAATCAAACTCGGGTCTCCGGGTTCGTAGCGCAGCTCACTAACCGCTACACTGCCGTTCACCACTCGACCACCTGCTCACCCACACGTCATGATAACCATCATCGTCACCATCGGCCAAAACCATCAGGCTGCCTCCCCAAGCCATCGCCATCTCGCACAGTCCTGTGACGCAACATCCCGCCCGGCAGTTGCTTGCGAGCCGATTTCCATCGCTCCATCACCACGGAAGACGCGCTCCGGGACACGTTCCATCGCCTCGGCTGCCACGTCGTAGCTATCGTCACCCGACGGCCATCATCTCTTGCAGCGGCGTAATGCGTGCGCTCAATATAACTCGACGTGGCCAAACAAATGAGCTGAACGCCAGTGCGAGAATGACACGAGCGTCTGCGCGAAATCTTGTGCTAAATTTACACAATGATTCAACACCATTGGGCATTGGGGGGGGGGGGGGGGGGTTCATCTTATTCTTCCCTTTTTAATTTGCACCTACGGTAAATGTTTGCGTCGCCGTTGAACGTCACTCGGTGTGACACTTCTCGCCGAGAGAGAGAGACGGAGGAAGACGGAACCCCAGAAGCCCCCCGCGCGTTGCAACGTCGCATTTCAATGGCCGTGGATGACACGTTTGTGACCGCAACGCGTTTCCCCTTCCCCCCCCCCCCACCTCCTTTCCCGTCTGTCGCAGGATTCATCCTCAAGCTGCCCTTCTGGGGGCAGCCCCCCGATAAGAACTGCTATGAGGACAACGTCTACTGGGAGGTACAAGGCGCGCAGCGCACACGTGCACACACGCGCTCACACATGCACAAACGCACGCGTGCGCCACCGTATTTGCCGTGCCCCACGATGCCACGTGCGTGTTGTTCGCACCGCCATGCAATCCCCTCCATGTGACCCATGCCCGGTTCCTAACCACGCACAGCAACGGTGGCAACTACCCAGTAAGGATTATTTGAACCGGTCATGGGCCTTCCTTAGGTCGGCTCAGCCTCAAATGAGTACCTGGTTGCAGTGATGTGTAAACATCATCACTTGGAAGACAAAGGCGGTCGGGCGTGGTGCTGGCCAGTCACTCCCTCGTATACCGTGCCGGCCTTCATAGGTGCTCGCTAACAGCACTTGTCCCAAAAGTATGTTAAAGGCTACGCGGGGGATCTCTGTCTTTGTCTATTTTCTTGGACGTAAACACACGTGCCGATGTGCTTGTATGTGCGATGTTTGCCAAGGTCCCTGGGGAGGGGGAGGAGGAAGAGGAACTGGGTTCCGTTCACCAGAAGCTTGGCGGAGATGGGGAGCAAGCATAAGATGAGCACAGCCACCACCACCGCCACCACCGCCACCACTACCGCCACTACCACCACCGCCGCCAGCACCGCCACCACCACCGTGGCCACCATATATGCCAAGACTCTCACGCAACGCTCACCCACAGACCCTTGCCCATGTGCCTTCCAGCATCCCAAAACACTCCAACGTCAAACGAATGTTCATAGACTCACCAACGCTCGTATTCGTCAATTGGCGTCAACACGTCATTGTGTATTGCGCCAGCCGGGATCAGATTTTACAATTTTGCAGCATTATCCAGTACCCTGCAGTGTTGAAAAGTTACACGAATCGAGGCCGTTTTGCTTTCCAGCAAAATGTTTTCAAAGAGGAGATAGGTTTAGTGAATTAAGATTGTGTTTTTTTTGTTTTTTTCATCATCATCATCATCAACATCATAATCAATTTCCTTCCCACTGACACATGTGAACATGTCTTGCAATGTTTTCTGCTTGACAAGTAACATTTGAAACTTTTTTAATAACGGATTTGGAAAAGAAGACATAGTGCACAACAAATATAAGTTTGTAGTTTTGAGTGGCTGATTAGAATCTATAAACCAGGGTGCCATGAATTGTTTAATAAGCATTTATCCATTGTTTTACGCTCTTCAACCTTGAGCTGAAGTTAAATGATGCAACGTTTATGCAATTAACAATCGCGTCTCCAAATATCACGCATCAGCCTATTTTAACAAATTTACACTTTTGTACTTCCATTTTTCATACTATATTTTACCTTATTGACCTATTCTAGCCAACACCACACACATTTTTGACAATAACACAGTTCATGAGAGGCCAGTCCCACCCAGCCCTTCTTGCCTAGAAAACCCAGCCTAAATATCTAATGCAAGGGAAAACATTTTCTGAGAAGAAAATATTTTCTGAGAGGAAAATGTTTCCTAATTTTTGTCCTAATGGGGAGAGAATTCAAATATTACTTTACGCAAGCTTCATGACACTAGTTTTGTATTCATAAACGTTTGTGTCGTTTGCCACCAATTTTTGTACGCGCTGACATGTTGCCCTTGACGACTCTATCAATGCCACGTGACTTCATCCAGCCAATAACAGCGATGTTCGCCTGTGCAACAGTCAAACCGTTTTCGCCTTGGTGTTGAACAAGTTGCATGTTCGCAGAGCCAAATTCACCTTTAATGAGGCACTCATTGCAGCCCCTGTAATACCGAACGACGAAACAATGATCACGTGCAGCATTTTTGCTGAATAGTTGCAACGTTAAACGTCAGTTTTTAGGCACGTGTTCTTGGGTCTTTCGGTAAAGTCACGTAGATGGATAATCTTGGGTCTTCACCGAAAGACTCAAGAATATGAATTCCTGCAGTCACGAAAGCTTTAAGTCAAGGTTTTAGGCACATGCTGCAATCAACCTGTCCCAACAATTAGCATAGTGTCTTTCTGTCCAAAACTATCATTCGGTGACCAACTCAACAAAAGTCGTTTTGAAAAAAATGCTAAGTAACTTTAACATGACAGGAAAATATTTTTGGGTTTTATTTTAATGCTGTGATGAAACAATTTACAGGGTGCATTGCAGATTTAGTTTTCTGGTCTAATTTTTTTGTTTTCTCTTCCCGAATACGGCATTTGCACTGCCCACATTCATGCACAAGCCATTCCGTACTCGGGGCAAGCCTTAAACAAGGCGGACAACACCTCTGAATGAATATATTTTCAAAGAAGCGCGTTCCCATGAAACGAATCCGCTGCAGGTATTTTTTAACAGGGATTTCATATTTTAAACGTTGCCATTCTGAAATAATGCATTTTAAAAGCGTGAACGCAATTTTTACTTAGTGCTTTTGTTCTCTTATTACTCAGCCTTTTGTTTTAAAAAAGCATCAGCTCTTAAACTACGATATATTAATAATGATAATTGCGTAAAATCCATCGCAGCTGTCTTGAGTTTAAGTTAACATCACTTTCCGCACAAACAGCTTTCACTTGTTGACGCTACCCAACAGGTTTTTTTTTTACCACCCTCCTGAAATAAAGATGAAGCAGCAATTAACGGATTATCTTTTAAACCTTTTGTGTAATCTACGTTTAGTTCATTATACACGCGCTGATGCTGCATTCCAGTGGCGGTTTGTGATTCCAGGTTAAAGAGATGGCAAACAAGAAGGCAATGAAGTGCCCACTTCGGGAGTTTCCAGTCTCAGGTGATGATGAACTCACGTGGTATGATAATTGGAACACGGTTGCAATGTGTCGTGGTGGTGATGCTGCACCATTGTTTGGGCACCCACACCTCACCAGTTTTCCTGCAAAGCTTCGCGGTGGATACAGCGCCGATGATGGAGCCACCGCCTTGTGTGTACCTCTCTTGTCAGTGGGTCCACCTGTGCTGACGATGAAGCCACTGCGAGCGGGGTTTTTATTTTTTGTTTCTCGTTTCCCCACTGAATCCACGTGCACGCGCGTCATCAACCTGATACAGGAAGAAAAAAACAAACCTGAGATGGACTTTGTCTCCGTGTATCCGGAGCCGGTAATTGTCACGACTGCATTTTACTTTTTATTACAAAAAGGGGCCCCACACGGTTTCACAACGCCTCTGAGCAGCAGCGGTTGAAGATGTGCTCTTTGGGCAATTGTGCCAAGAACAGTGGAATGCGGCAACAGTCGGTCGTCCCAACGTTTATTGAGTTCAACAAATGTGAAGGTAAATTAGCGCATTTAAAAGGCCAGTAACTGAATCAACAGATTATTTTATTTTATTTCAGAAAAAGTTCAAACATGTTTTGCTTATTTGTGCTTCTGTTTTCACACAGGCCAGTGTAAATTAAATGTGTGCCTGGCCCTAAAGATGTATTTTGGTAACCGCATTATTGTCAATGGTGTAGAAACACTGGGTAAAAGACTTTCGGCACCATCTTACGATTTCACGAACGCTGCATTATATGCAGGGTGTCCAAAAATGGGTCATCCGTGAAATTTTTATAATTATAATTAGACGGCAGCTTAGGCTGGCTCCATACAACTGCAGACACATTGTCGCGTGGTGATTTTATCGTGGTTGCCCGCGCGTCTCGCCTGTATACGCCCGCATGTGTTTGCCAACATCTCCAGCTGTGCCACTTTATCGCTGAAGCTTTGCAGTAAGAAAACTCTACCCTTTTGTAATCGTGAACGTGTTGTAGTTCATGCTGCTGCTGCTGTTGTCTACATAATAATTATGTTAACAATGGGCCGTACCTTTTTCGGGACAGCCTTTTTAAGTGAAATGAAATCTGCACCGAGTTAACGTTGGTGACGGGGACCCGCTTTCTATGCCTCCTCTGAAAAGGGGCCGTTTGCCTGTGGTACAGAGTGACCTATTTGTGTATGACCACAACAACCAGGTTTTGATACACTTTTTAATTGTTGCATTGAAGTTGCCTTTCTGACATTGCTTAATAGATTTTGGATTTTTTTTTTACAGTAGGGTAATAGTATTTTTCAAGTGCCTTTTTTATCGTGATGAAAACTCAGGAAATGTTGGTATCAAGACTCCATAAAAATGAGTTATTGAGGGCTGATTCACAAACCTTTTTTGGTGAAACCCGGCGAACTGTTGAATCTAATCGCACGCATCCATCTGCCACGCGAGCTTTCACTCCGCCCACAGATCTTGTATTGCAGCACACCGCGTTCGATTGGTTTAGATAATCTATAACCTTCAAAATATAGCATTTTAATTGCCAGTTCGGAATCTCTTGATTCCTGTGTTTTTTTTGTTCAATGACCAATTCTCCAACTCGCCTGCTGCAAATGTTTTTTGAGGTGTTTTATTGCGTGCCAACGACGCGTGTTCATTGGGGGTGAAGGCTTCATAACGTTCGTCATTTGATTCCATTTCACGTCGAATGCATTGTTACAATATCGTAACTCTGTTAGGGGCTCCTCCGTGTATATCTTGTCAGGCTTGGCACGCAGTTTATTAGCAGAGAGCATTCGGTGTGTGTTTATCCGTCGGTACAAACAGTAAAGATGGGTGCTTAATTTCAGCCAGGAATTCTCTTCAAGGGATTTATTTGGGCATGCCTAATACATCTCGTCGTACCTGTGATATCGTAGGATCTCAGACGTATGGTACAATGGGAATAAAAATACGTATTGCGTTATCAGGGATAGGGTGTCCCTTGTACACCCCCCAGTGTGCCGAGCAGTGTTCTGGCAAATTTCGAGAGAAATTATGTCGTGGGTAAGAGATCATGCTGAGGTGCAAGCGGGAAGGGCTTGACACAGACTTGGGAGACGATTATATGTTGCATTGAATCTGAAAATTCCAGCCGAATTGTGACTTGTTTGTACTTGGTGAAACGGATGCGTGTCACCAGCCAAGAGCCGTGCATTGGGTGTATGGTTCGGAGGGACGAGCAGCCAGTCGTATGAACACGTGCATGGCCACGTGCTTTCTCGACAAATCGGATGGTCTGTGGCAGAGAGATAATATCTGACCGTGATACGTCTGCTTCACGTTATTTTTTAAGCATGACCCTTGTTCAGAAATATCACCCTAAATTTTTTTTGTCAAATCCATTTATTTTCCATGTTTGTGAATGCTCCATGATGGTCATAGTTAATATTACTTTTTTTGCCAATAACTTCACGTCGAAGTTGTTTCTGTGTTTTTTTCCCATTTTGTTGGACAATGTTACATAAAGCCCCATGGGCATCCCAAAGGCTTACCCATTCCATCGGACAGTCGCCAAGTTCCCAATTCCCAAACGTAAAGACTCCATTGGTGTCTGTTGCGGGTTTTGTTTTATTAACCGCCGTGCTTGGCGCACTTAATATACTAAACTAGACGCAGCAAACGACAGTCCCCCCTGCCCCCCTCCCCCGGCTGAATAAACCCCCACCGTCAACGTCGTGCGATGATGGTGAAGCCCAACTGCACCCACCGCCCGATTTCTAACTTCATAATAATCGGCAATAAAGTCATATTGGGAGTATCACGGATACGCGTAGCCACCTGTAGAGACGATATGAAACGCGCAAGGCACGGCACCATTCGGGCAAGTTTAATAATCGCTGCAAGCCGTGGCCCTGAGATAATTTCGCCGATATACGCCGGGGTTTCGTTAAACACCAGTCCGCGCGGAGCGACCACTCCACGCTTCGTGTGGTTTATTTTTTCCGGCGTGAACAAAATCTACCCCCCCCCCCCCACACACAATTTCAAATTAGTCCCGTTCCACGTTGCGTGCGCCAGAAATTGTTTAGAGATTTTTCCCTGCCCGGGCAAGTAACGAACGCCGTCTTCGTCGCTTTGAGCCGGTGCCGACGCACGCGCCGAGATCTCCGATCGTACGTATCGTCTCGGAATAATGCAGAGGGCGCCATTTTTTTTCGCGTCACGTGGGGCCGTGTTTAACAAGCATCGGGCGCGTGCAGCGTGGTTTGAGTTAATCTGTGTGGGTTGTTTTTTTATGGAGAGTAAATTTGTTAAACGCGGAAAGACGCACGAACATCGTGATGAGTCGCGAGGGCTGGAGTTGTTGCTAGCGGCTGCTGTTTAGATCAGGTTGGGTTTGCGTTGCCTGTGTGATTTATTTTTGTTCTGTCTGCATGTAACGTTACTATGCATGTTGGTTGTACGGTATTAGTAACCGATATTTTGTATGCCTAAATAAGATATGTTATTTGTTATATTACAGCCATTGTATACTTACTGCGGGTAGTTTGGGGACCCGCGGTATATTGTTGCACACTAAAACTGTGTTATAACATTTTTAAACCGCGTTTTTTTTTCACCATGCAAACTTCACGGCGGGGGAGACTGGAAAAAAAACATCCCCGATGTCCCATCTCGTTGGTGTCGATGCACAGTAGCCAGATTCTCACTGGGATCTTTCACAGCCATTGCTGAACCGGGTCCCAATGTACATTGGGCATCGTCAGCACGGCTTTGTGCGCCAACACCACCGCGCCTGTTTGGGCTGCTAAGAGCGACGGGCATGCCCTGCTACGTACATAGTCCCCGGTGAAACAATGACTCCATTCAGCTTTGTTCATTTGTTAAACACAGCGCGCCATTCTCTCCAGTCAATATGAAGCCACAGGGCTACCATAAACAATAATATCACCATCAGATCAGCCACTACAATCCGCTGCTAGATGAAGCCCTCCTCCCTAAGCTGTGGCAATCTCTCACTCATCTGTCGATGTAATGCATCCACGTCGTAGAGCCTGGAAAGGGAGCTTATCTCTTAATTCTAGATTTGAAGCTTTCGTGACTGCAAGGATTCATATTCCTAGGTTTTTTCGGTAAAGTCACGTAGGTAAAACATTAAAATTAATAAAAGTAAAATAAAATAAAAAAAAAATAAAAAAATCACGACGTTTCGGAGGCAACACAAGCTTCCGTCTTCAGGTGGAACCGTCACAGCCACGACAGCTGTATCAAGTACTGTATCGTGGCTGTGACGGTTCCACCTGAAGACGGAAGCTTGTGTTGCCTCCGAAACGTCGTGATTTTTTTTATTTTACTTTTATTAATTTTAATGTTTTACCTACGTGACTTTACCGAAAAAACCTAAGAGAATAGGAGCTTATCTCATCACTCCGTTTCTGACGGATGGGTGAGAGTTGAGTTACTCTCAGGCGCGTTGTCTGAACTCGGCTGTGCCTCTGTCCCTAGGTTCTCGTCGTTGGGAAGTGGACATTGTAGCGCTGTGGAATTAGCCCCTGGTGTTGTGCTTGCTTACCTTCTTCATATATGCGAGTGTTACCATTGTTTTCGATATTTTATCTCGGCTCTCACACACTTTCTTTTTGTTGCCAGACAATGGAGATATATTCGTTGACTGGATGTAACGTTAACGTGCGAAAAACTGTGTTTCTTATTGGAATTATGTGTTTACCGATGACATTTTAAAATCACATTTTTGTGTAAGATGGTATTGTTTCAAACAAACTTTAACTTGCTTTGAATTTTGCCAGGATTGTGAACACCGATTTCTGTGAATGCTATCAAACACCCTCGAGTGTAATTGTTTTGTACAATTCTCGCTTTTACTTCGTATTATGCTGCCGTAAACTCTTTAATCCGAGTTTTTTGTTATGCCACCGTTTATCCAACGACACATAAAATAAACGTCAGCAAAATAAATGCACTTGGCCCTCTGCAACTTTTTTAGATTTGTATTTATTTTGTCGTCAATGTCAAGTCCAAATTCAAAAAGGTCCATTTGGTGTTTCAATCGTGAGTGAGTTTGCCAGTGCTCATGTCTCTTGCTAGACCTGATCCCATCTTGTAAATTCCATGTTCCTATGGCAAGTTTCCAACGACACATTGAGAACAACCAGCATCCCCGCTGTTGGATATCCCAGCAAATGGTGATTACAATGTGGAGCTTGTTAGAGCAACCTTAGACGGATGATCGTGGTGAGAGTGCCGCTGATGATAATGCTGATAATTATAATAATGGTGGTAGCTGATGAAGATGGTGTTAATGTTGCTGCTGTTGATTACAGTGCTGATGGTTGAATTGGTGATGAGGATTGTGAAATAGTGTTAATTGTGGTGGTGGTGGTCATGGTGGTGAAGCTATATGGAGTTGACTCTGGCTGGGAATTTAACTTGTCCTCTTTGTCAGTGGGTAGCGGACCCCCACTGCCAGACGGTTTTGTGCCACCATTGGAACCTCCTTTGCCAGTAGCAAAAGATGATAATTGTTTTCATTACCCCTTTATCTGGCAACCGATAAAAGGTTTGGTGCCAGCTCGCGGTCTTACAATTTCCCACCATCTCGTGCGATGCGCGTCGACCCTCCTGCGTCTGCTGTTGCGACCACCTCCCCGTCTCGCTACGATCTCATTAATCCCCACGGTTATCCAGTCCGGTACCCAAGGACAACCCCAGAACGGGCCCGCCCATCTAAACAAATTAAATATTATTACACCGGGGGGAGCGGGGGGTGGCTCTGCTTCGGTGTATTTTGATGCCGTGCGGAATGAGGCTTATGTCAGTAGGGGGCGGCACAAGTCCATGGAATTCACAGGAACGTCTCCAACAAGAGGAGGGGGGAGGAGCCAAATGTCGTCCCCAGCAGAAACGAAAGCATCTCCAATATTTGCATTCGACAGATTTGGCGCACGATAGCGATGCAATTTAGCGTGCTTGCTAAATGAATGAGTGTGGTTGCAAAGTTGCTTGCCGTGTGTGTGCGTGTGTAGGTTGTGCTGTTTTATACGCATGCATCTTCTACACCATTTTAGCGAGCTTTCGGCTTCATTGGAATTTTGAATAGCCGTCTCTCAATGTTTAGAATATTCTGCACAGGAAAGAGCTATGGGAAATAAAAAAAAACGCTTGACACGCGTGAATGTATGGAAGCATTCAGATGTGGTGTAGTTTTGTTATGCTGTACGCGAAGCACCCATATCTATATTTTCCCACTGACAAGTATTCCAACCTTTTGCACATACCCAGATGCCGATGCCTTGGATCGCACAAATAAAATTATGATAATATGTAAAATAGTGGTGGGGGCATGCAGACGAGAGGATTAAATTGTCGCATTTTTATGACTGGAGGTTTTCGACAATCAACTGGGTTTACTTTGCTTGCTTTCAAGGTCACGTGTCAATATCGAAGCCGTTTAGCTCGACGGGAACCATCCTATTTGTCTCGCGAGCGTTAATTGTACCGTCCAATTACTCTTGCGGCGAGGCATTGATCTTACTCGTCTTTTCAAAAGCCACGAGAAATTGCCGAGCGTGTTACCCTTTGTGTTGCAACGTTACGCGAGGCACGAGCGAGAAGAAAAACACACCATTTTTGTTTTTAATCACAGGTCTTTTCCTTTATTTGTGTGGTGTTTCTAGCGAGACCGTTAATCGTGTAAATAAAACGACAATTTTGAAGCTTTTTTTCGATGGTGAAATCGATGCGAGGTGGGGTGGGGGACCTCCAAAATTAATTTGCTATTTTAACTAAAAATGTATCTATTAAGGATAAAGCCCTAAGCTAAAATAAATGTAAACAAACTCGATGTATTTTTTTCAATGCTATACAGTATAATATTGCATGAAAAAAATCGTGAGTAATTATACTATTGCACCAGCAATTATGCGAATAAATATGAATGAACAATGACAATTTTAGGCATATTTTTTATATGCATAATGTTTTGGTAAAAAAAAAAGTGTTTTTTTTATTACGCAAAGCTCAAATTAATCGTAATAAATCACGTTACTATCCTCCAAGTTCTCCCGATTGCAGTATCAATTGTTTTTTGTTTGATTTATAAAGTATCATGATATTAAACATTGAAATGTATAATAACACAGATGTTATATATGTAATGTTTTGGTTATATTTTAAGATATGGTGCGTATCTTAGGTCCGCATATAAATGGCTCAAGTTGGCTACGATTTTGCCATGTTTACAAAACGAGGAAAATATTGAATGCATACGGTAAGGCGACGTTTTATTATCGTGAAACCGTTTAGTGATATTAACATATGTAACAAAATAAACAAACTGCCAAACGTTTTGGTTAATGTCGGTGTATACAGCTGTCTATTATATATAACATCGAAACATTCATTCCAAAAATCAGCTTTTGCGTTCAGTTTTAAAATTGGTCTATTTCCTCCCACTCTCAGAACCACGGCGACTACCACCACCGCGTCCAACCACCATTTCATGGCCACCATCTCCGTGGCTCAACTCTCAGTCTCTCCACTCCAGCTGCCAACCCACAC